AAGTATAAGTATATATATATATATATATACATATATGTATATATATATATATATATATATATATATATATATATATATATATATATTATTTTATATTATATTAGACTATATTATATTATATTATATTATATTATACTATATTATATTTTATTTTATTTTATATTTCATATTTTATATTTTATTTTTTATATTTCATACTTTATATTTTATAGTTTATAGTTTATGGTTTATAGTTTATAATTTATAGTTTAGAGTTTATATTTTTATTTTATATCGCATTCGCACCATTCTACGTTAAATTTAGTACGTGCATGGTAAACGTAATCGAGATCTTGAAACCGTTTTTAATACGCGCTTGCCTAAAATTCGTTCGAACCAGTACCAAACTGAACATAGAATCGCGCAACTTTTTCTCGCATAGATATATGCGTGTGTATGTATATATATATTATATATACATATATGTACATACACACATATGCGCGCGTGTATGCATATATGTATGTATATACATACACAGCATTATATTATATTTAATATACGTAAGTATGTATGTTCTTCATACGGTGTACGTGTTTAAAAGATGCGTGTGCGCGAGTGTAGAACAAGCGAGAATCGATACACCGAAGCGACACACGCATTATCTATTCACGTAACCCGTACCAACTTTTTATGGTTTTTGTTGTGTTGTTGCTCGAACAACTTGCACGCAATAATCACAGCCACCTATCCAAATTCGCACTCGCACACACGCACATCGAAATACGCGTTTTTTCGTCTAAGATTCCATTTTCTGACGCTATCGCACTCGCCATTCACATATTTTCATTCATAGTTGCAATCGCATTCACGTTTCATACACGTGTACGTATATACCTGTACTCGGTACACTTTGCGCTTCTATTCTCAACATTTTCCCGTCAGTTTATAATATGTATTTATGTATGTGTATATACGTATAAGTATGTATGTATATTGCTGAGATATATATATATATATATATATATATATATCTTTCGTGTATCATACATAGAAATAGGTGCCGAAACGAGCTGCTCTTTCTTCCTATCATTCTTCCGTTCAACTGTTTCGTCGGGTGAACGCGCACCGCGTCCAGTAATACATAATAATATATTAATAATTGTGTTGGAAAACGATCGCAATGAGAAAAAGAGGGTCACGCAGTTCAATTATTGCCGTACAAAGTACGGCGATACCTTTACCTCTGCTACCGACTTTCCCCATTCATCTTTTCGGCTGCTCCTAATCACTTTTCTATCCCATTGTTCCCAACCGGAACGGAAGCGACGGTTTTTCGTTTCCCGTTTTCCATTCTCCCCTTATAGACCAGGCTACTAAAATTCCTTCCTCTATCGAATTCGGAATTCTATTCTCGTCGAAAAACTGCTTTCTTACTTTCACACGCTTTGTAATCCGCTGGGTGCTGGTGGGCCGTGGAGCCCGTAAATCAATAAATAAATAGAGGAACAACATTCTTCAAACATTTTTTTCTTATAACAACATTAGAGGCTCTTGGAACGTAACGCAACAAATGTTCAACAGTACAATCACGAAAACAAATAGAAGGCACTCTTGCTCTTTTTACCTTATCTCGATAAAATCAATTTGTATGTTTTTTGTTTTGTCTCGACGACTCGCTACGTTAATCTACCCGTTCTAGGCCTTTGTTCGTGGTGGTCTACGTATTTTATCAACCCTCGTTAATATATTCTCTCTCGTGCTATAATCTTTTTCTGTTCGTCGTCGCGTGGTCGTGGTCGTGGTCGTCGTGCTCGTCGTCGTCGTCGTCGTCGTCGCTAGATACCTTTCGTTCCGTCTCGCGTTCAGTTCCCCTCGCTCGTATATTTTTCTCGATTTTCCCGGGTTCGGCGGATATGTCGTCAGCTTTCGAGAAGAACAATAGGACAGCTATTCGGCGACGCCGCGCGAACCTTCGTTTTACCATTTCTCATCGCCATACGCGTGTGTCTGTCTTTTCATTTTGTCTTTACGTCTTTTTCGTCGTCTTTTCTTCCCTTCGTTTAAATAGACAATAATAGCTACAATATGCGAGATATGAGATAACAAATTTCTCGTTATAGATAAAAGAAATTCACCATCGTAACAATTAGGTAGAATATTATTTAACTTCTTTTATATTATAATAATTTAATTATTGTTATTTGCTTGGAAGCTCACAGCCGACACATTTTTTTTTGTTTAATTCATTATTACATATACTTCTTCATCGTCTTCTTCTTTTTTTTTTTTTATCGTATTCGTTAGGTATGGGGCATCCGTTTTTTTTTCGTGTTTTCTCCCTACCGTATTTTTTCTTTTTTTTCTTTCAATGTTCAACGTTACGTTTAACAGCTATTTTTACGATCATCTCAAATCTTTTGCGCGGAAAATTTCTCGTGAGAAAAGAACAAAGAAGGTGTGTGAGAGAGTATAGGGCGGGGAGTGGGACAATAAATTAATGACCGCTACCATTGTGAGAAATGCGTGAGAATACATCATCATAGTTCACGGTTACTCTAATTTAAAAAAAAAAAGAAAAAAAAAAAATAGAAAAAGAAAAAATAACGAAAAAACTATAAGTACTCTGACGTGCAACCATGTTTCAGGTAGAAAATAAAAAATGAGAGACGTGGCAGTGCCTTGAGCAACCGTTTTACGAAACTCAACTACATTCTGCCTCCCTATTTCCCTTCCGCGTATTTTTTCTTTCTTTTACTTGTATTTTTCTTTTACGTTTTTTTTTTGTTTATCTTTGAACACATAACAAATCGCTCGCGTTTGTACGATAACAACGTTATTTGTTTTGGTTTTCTCTATTCTTCCTTTGTTCTATTATTGGTATGAATATTTTTTTTCATCATCTTAATCGTCTCGTATTCTTCGTCTGTATATCCACATCTATCCTACTCTAGCCTTGCTCGTGAGATTCATGGTTTGCCGAGCCTATCGCGCTTAAACGTCAAATACTGCATATGACATAGATTTAAGTAACGTAGCGTATCTATAGTATCTACTAAGGATACATAAACACTCGCACTCATCCACACACGCGCGCATGCATACATAAACACCCACGCACATAAAATATATCTATCTCTGTAACCTCCACCCCCCCCCCCTCTCTCTTTGTCGTTACACGCGCCCGCGCGCGCGCGTGTACGCACACACACACACGCACACGCTCAAACACAGAGGCATATATATATATATATATGCATATACATGTACATATGTATACATATATGTATGTATATCGTAAACATTCAATTATTGCAAGAGTTAACGTATTCGACTTTGAATTTCCTATGCCGACTCGTGTCTTTTTCCTATATATCATTTTTAATATCCAACATAATAATCTTTGAATGTCGTGTGTGGATGTGCACGATACACATGCATAAATAGTGTGTATGTTCGCGCGGGTGTTTATATATATATATACATAATATATATATATATATATATATATATTCATTTATAAATGCTTAACAATTTAGTATGTTTGATAATTTACCGAAGAATTAATAATTTACAAGTTCGATCGTTTATAGTTCATTTGCCATTTTTCTCTTTTTTTTGCATTGGGGGATTGAGATCACAAGAGAAAATTTCGATTTCTCTCTTCTTCACACGGGTGCTAATGCAGTGTTAACGTTTGTCCGCCTTCGAACAGGTGACAATTTGAAATCGAAGGAGACACGTGTGGTCCGTGTATTTGAGAACCGTGAGAAAAGATGACTCCGACGAAAACAGGGATTGATGAAATACAGAAATGAAGTAAAATAGAAGAAAAGAGAAGAGAGAAGAGGAGAGAAAGAAAAGAGAAACAAAGAATTCGAAGGACGCAGGTGAGAGCGCAATGCGAAACTAGGCTCAGAGGCTCGAAGGCTTAGAGACTCAGAGACTCAGAGCCTGCATCTGATGGCACGTGTCGCTCAGCTGATTTTGATCAGCGACGGTGGAATGGACTGGAAGTGTCCTCGGAGTGCCCGGCGGGGTGATCGGCATTCTACCGACACCCGGAGGAGCGTCCCCAGCACCGCCCAGGTTGTCCTCGGATACTTTGTTGCTCGTCTGCATGATCCCGTTCACCTTGTACTTGCTCTGCCTCAGGACCGCGCTGTTTTGAGTCGAGCCGGAACTCGAGTATTTCTCGGTGGACTTTCGACTGGCTGTGGGCAGAGCAGTCGGAGCGATGGTGTACCGACGCTGCTGTTGACTCGATTGTTGTTGTTGTTGTTGTTGCTGCTGCTGTTGCTGCTGTTGTTGTTGCTGCTGCTGCTGCTGCGGCTGCTGTTGCTGATGGTGATGCTGGGACGGGACCAGGGATGGCTGGTAACGGTTTTGCGATGGAGGGTACAACGGGACCTGGGAGGTGGGTGGTGATAAAGTTGGGAGCGGTCGTGTCATAGGCGAGTAGGGTGCTGGCGGTGGACTGTCAGGCTTCTCCGAATTGCTATTACTTTCCGCGGTACTTTGTACACTCTGTACATTCTGCACGCTCTGCACGGNGTTGCTGTGGTTGTGATTGACTCTGCTGTTGCTGCGGTTGCGGTTGAGCCGGCTGCTGAGATTGCTGCAACTGTTGCTGCTGTTGTTGTTGTTGGTGCTGGTGAGCGATCACCTGAGCTTGGGTCAGCCGAACCTTCATAATGTCAGGGAACTGGTGTTGATTCTGTACAGGAGAACTGTTAGGTAAACCGGAAGTACCGTTCGAGGTTGGAAATTGACTAGTTGTTGCGGATGTGGTAGTTGTTGTCAGATTCGCTTGTGACAATTGCGGTTGCCCGAAAGGACTCAGACCAGGATTTGGAACGACGTTGGGATTCGAGGTTGATTGTCCGTTTGGACTAGGGCCTGGCGGACCAACCAAAATTCCCTGCTGTTGCTGCTGCTGTTGCTGCTGTTGTTGTTGCTGCTGCTGCTGCTGCGGCTGCTGTTGCTGATGGTGATGCTGGGACGGGACCAGGGATGGCTGGTAACGGTTTTGCGATGGAGGGTACAACGGGACCTGGGAGGTGGGTGGTGATAAAGTTGGGAGCGGTCGTGTCATAGGCGAGTAGGGTGCTGGCGGTGGACTGTCAGGCTTCTCCGAATTGCTATTACTTTCCGCGGTACTTTGTACACTCTGTACATTCTGCACGCTCTGCACGGTTTGAGCAGCCTGCGAACCGTTGCTGCCCCCCGTTTCAGCCTCGAGGCTCGTGTTATAATTTTCAGTGGACGACCGACTGCTCGAGCCACCAACGATACCCTCCGACGTTTGCCCGTTATTGCGATACGCGTTAACCGCGTTCTTGCGACTCGAGTAGGTGTTCAATTTAATCGCGTTGTCCGCGTACTGGTCGTTCAAATGATTCCTGCGACCGTTGGCGTACTCGTTCGTGAAACCTTGACCGGACGCGATGAACATTTTCGACTGCGAGGAACTCGTGTAACCGGCGTTGTAGGATTGAAGAGGTGGCGGATTCGATACGAAACCACCGACGTTCCCGGACCTCTGAGGACTATAGGTGTCGGATCGCGATGCTGCGAAGCAACCCGGAGAAGTCTGAACTGTCGGGGAACCACCGGCAACAACCGTCGTTGCTGCCGAAGCTACAGTTCTTCGGTGATTGTATTGCATGGAGAACCGCGAACCCATCGCGGAAGATGGGTACTTGTTGTAACTACCGTCCACGTTCACGTGCTTGTACAACTGCGAGTTCGTCAGATGCGATTTATTCACGAGCGACGATTGGTGAGGCGACAACGCGTTCCCATGACCGCCTTTCGAGTAACAACTGCTTTGTCCATTCGCGGACCCCGATTTTGAATATTCCCTTGAATTGTAACTCTGAGGTTTAGCCGACGAGTCGAAGATTTGCTGAGACATGGATGAGCCCGGACCGGTGGCCGCAGTCGGGGTCGGTAGCAAGCTGGTACCGGCCGCGACGCCAGCCACCGAAGCATTGTGAAACGGAGCTGTAGCGTGCGCGTGAGGAATGTAAACCGTCGCCGGGTGGTAGACGATAGTCCTGCAATGCATTCGATTCCCGCCGCAATCCTCGGTCTCGTTCAAGCACGACTGCGAATTGTACAAGTTCGCGCTATGTATCGCGATCGAATGATAATTCGTATAACGTCCGGATACGGGAAATTTGACGGGCATCAAGGACACCATGGGTGCGGACGAACCCGCAGCAGCTTGCGTTGTGTCACTATGCGGTTGCTCAGAGTGGCTCGACGTTGAAGGAGAATCCTACGGTTTAGTTCACAGATGATAATTTCGTCGTCGAGCGGTTTCTCGTAGCCTTCGACAATTCGGTTTGGTTTCGTCCGATTCGTTTCGATTCGGTTCTCTATTCGACTTGATTCGATCGACCGCGGACGCGACCGATACAGCGAGCGAGAGTGTCAGCGATGACAACTACCGCTACTACGGCGACTGTTATGACGAATGGCGAATCGTCGACTCACCTCTTGTGGAGCAGTCTGACCATCGGACGACGACGTTTGCTGGAACGAAGCGTCCGTTGGGTAGAGCACCAACTGCTGCTCGGCTAGTCCCATGGCTGCATGCGGTGGTGGCGGAGGATGAGTTCCGGTTGGAAACGGATAATAAACATGATCGACCTGCGTCTGAGGTGGACCAGCTTGCACCGGTGGATGATGATGGTGCGGCGGCGGGGCAGCGGGATAAAAGTGTGTGGCTGCTGGTGGAGGTAGAGAAGGAAGTGGCGCCGGCGGAGGTCCTGTCGGAGGACTAGTTGCCCCCGCCGTTCCATTGTTTCCGTTTCCAGAATTGCTGTTGCTGGCGTTTGTGTTGGTCTGCGAGTGGCTGCTAGGATACAAGTACGGTGAAGCTCCGGCTGCTGCTGCCCCTGGATAATACGTCTCGTACTGCACAGAAAACCAGAATTCGACCATCACCCATTTATTTCTATGCGATCCTAGAATATCTCGACCGAATAACCGAAGCTTAACATTTAATCGTAACCAGTCGATTTTAATTTATAAATAAAGGCAACAGATACATTCTTCTTCTTCTTTTTCTTCTCGCGGAACAGAGAGAATTTTCCTCTCCTTCCAAAGGATCCTTCGATAATTCAACATCGTTCTCATTCTCGAGTACCAAGATTGCTGTACACATGCCAAAAAAATTCTTTGATACAGACGAAAATCCAAGAGACACGCTCGACGAATACTTCAGCTCGATTCGATTAGCTAATCCGTATCGCGCGTGTCTAGGATAACGCAAAGTAGAAACACGCTTTGTTATAAGATTCTCTACTACACGCAGAACCATCGATCGCGGTCTATCCGGGAACATCGGCAATTATCTGTGCAACGAATACGCTATTTCGCAGTGCTCGCGCATAAAAATAGATCAGAAACAGTGACACGAGAAACGTAGAGCATGAAAAGAGTATCCTACACGCCGTCGAACCAAAGGAAATTAAACTATCTACGACAATAGTAATTGTATAAGCATTCGGTGGTCGAATTGTCTTCATCAAGACAAGCATAAGAGACACGTGCTCGACGAATAAACGAATCGTGTGATGTGTGGAAAAACTTGTGCATAAAACACATACGTGAGATGATACGATACAGTATAATGTAATGTAATGTAATGTAATGTAATGTAATGTAATGTAATGTAATGTAAATGTAACGCAATATAACGTAATGTAAATGTAACGCAATATAACGTAATGTAAATATAGTGTAATAACAATAATAATGAATCGTGAAAGAGAATCTAGTGTGCATGCGTCATAGTCGATAGGCCATGCAAAAGATTGAGAAAGAAAACGCACAGGGATGAGTGCTAGTCGTTGCATGCTAGTCGTTTAGCATAGACCATGTACCTTTAGACCTCAATACTGTATAGCGTCGAGAAGGACGTAAGTAGGCATTTGCTGAGGGTTGGGTAGAAACGCCGGTGGTATGGCTTCTCCCATCAAACCATTTGTCTGTCAAACCGCAACCGAGTTACCGTTTAATAAAAAATACAAGCTATACCCATAAACATAGACAATTGATATGGTACACATTATGATTGATGTACATAGGACCCAAGATAATTATCGGGAATATCGTAGAAAGAAATCCGTAGAATCCATTGTGTCGTGTACTTTACTCACCGGCATAGGCGAATATGGGTACTGCTGTGGCATGTAGAGCGACGGTGCTGGACATGGATACATCACAGGCGCGAAAGTTTGATGGCCAGCGGCTTGAGGTCCTGATCGTTCAGATTTTCATTTTTATAACGATTCTCGAATCAGCGATTATCATCTTCACAACTACGATTTGGTCTCTTCGATAAACTCACCGAACACTCCTGTGGTTTGATAGATCGTTGCCGGATCAGTCGGCGGAGCAATCGGTGTCGTTGGAGCTGCAGCCATCGTGTTGCAATACATTCCGTTTTGGTATAACCCCATACCTGATCGGGAAAAGTTTCATACATGTCGCACGCGTCCAACGAATGGTAAGCCAAGAAAATCTTAAAATGAATTTCTACAGACCGTTCGGGTAATAGTAAGGGCTAGTAGGCATAGAAGGCGGAGATCCGGAACCACCGTCGAAAGATCTGTTGAAGGGTTGCTTTTTGATCGCCGGTGCAATATTTAGTTTCCTTTCTCTCAAGATGATGCATTCGGGCTACGATCGAAACGGATGAAAATTAGTACAAGTAACGTACGTACCGGCGAGCATGGAGCACTAAACATACTTCTCTTTGAAGTCTCTTGGCTTCCTCTTCGGTTTCGAACGTAACAAATCCGTAACCTTTGGAAACACCGGCACGGTCCGCGATTATCTTCGTAGCTTTCACGTTACCATAGGAGGAAAACAGTTGGGTCAGTTCTTCGGCGCTGGTATTAGCAGAAATGCCCCCGACAAAGATACGATTAGGTACTAATGTACCATACTTTGGCGCAGCCATTGTGAGACTCGTAGCCGAGGCAGGGCTAGAGGCTGGACTAGACCCCTCGGTTCCACCCGTCGATGCTGAACTCTGAAACAATGAAACACAAACGAGTAATCCACGTATTTTCCAATTCTTTGTTGCTTTATAGAGATTGTCCCTTTATTATGATATACGGTGCATCAGCTTTCGAACTTTAAGATAGAACTACTATCGTATAGGCTCCAAAAACACTCGATATTTCGTGGCAACATCGAGCGCAAGTTTCAAATGCACTATTTATTTGACAAAGAACTATCTACGTGTTTAATAGTATATGTTCGATAGTACAAATGTTTATTAAATAAGTAATAGCAGCCATACATTCGGCAACTCGATACGAAGATATTGACAGTCGGGAGTTGTCTGTTCGATCGTAATATTCGGGGCATTCACGGTAAATGCAGGTTAAATGTTTGTGGATGTTGTTTTGTTCGGACAACGTGTTTTGCAGGTCGATATAGATCGTGGGGAAGCTCGCGTCAACTCGAGCGAGCAATCCCGAGTGAAAAAGAAACCGATTGATTCGAGGGTTATATACGATGAAAATGTTAGTTGTTAACGAAAGAGTGCTCACCATCTTCGCAAGAGTCGGGCGTGTGAACGTGTTTAATGGCCGTGAGGTTGTCCCAGCAGCTTGAAGGTACCCTGGCCTCGCACGAGGTCACCTGGGTGCCCAGGGACTGCCAAGGACCGTTGCAACCACTTCAAAAAGACTTCCAGCCTCCGGCGAAGCTGCTGTTCCTTCTCGCTAAACCTTCAAACACTACAGAGACACTTTTACAAGATGGCGGTGATAGCCGCCGTTCAGGGCGCTAATTTTCCCGATTTGAAATTTTCGATCCACAGTGTTGCGCGAACGCACGCTTTCGACTTTCAACTCCGCGAACGGCCGGAACGGCTTAAGTCAACATTTTCCACGGTTGAGAACGGCAAGCGAGAGAGCTTATTCCTCGCGTGATAGAAAACGAGCACAACGATACGAACGTGCCTCTTATCGAGATTGAACGTTTTAAACGGAACAGAAACGATAACAGAAACATTGGTAACATTAAACTTTCCCGAGCGCGGAACGATATTCGAACCTTCCTGCAACCTTCCTCCGATCTTCGGATACGATTTAAGCGAAATACACTGGCTTCCTTCGATTTGTATGTACCGTTGAAAAAACAGAATCTACGGACTCGTATATCGTATCGGCTCTATCTCTAAATGTTACCTTTGCGATGCGTCGATATCTTGAAAGTCGCGTGGTTCAAATTATTGCTACCAAATTATTGTATTGTAGTTTAGGCTGGTCTGGTTTAGTTTAGTCTACTACTATATTCTATTCTATTCTATTCTATTCTATTCTATTCTATTCTATTCTATTGATTCGACTCCATCGCACGCATCTCAAACTCGGTAGTTCTACAAAATCACACTCAAAAGATACATACATGTATGTATACGAAGAGGAATTCGGTTTTGGTATAATGGCGTTGATTGATCGTGGTTACTATGGCTCGCATGGGAAATGTGAATCTCTTTCTTTTTTTTTGTTTTTCGTTGGAGCTTACCTAATTTCAATTATAGAAAGTTTCGGAGAAATCCCTTGAACATTTTCGTCGAAACCATCGATTCTATTCTTACGAGCTACTTATCGCGCAACGAATAATCGAGTAACCGAACAACCAAATAAAAACACTGAAATTCTAACGATGAACGAGAACGGGGAGAAAAACGAAAACGAGCTTCCTCACAGCATTGTTGACTTCGAAAGACTGAAACATTCACCGCCGCACTACACCGATCGCTGCAGCGCGTCCGTAGCTGTTAATCGTATCGATACCTCAGCCAAACGATCTTTCTTATCGACTCGGAATCCCCTTGATAAATACCATCGATAATTCAGAAGAATCGGTTTTCTGTATTTCTTCGCGGATAATACTCACGAGAAAGCACGACGTACCAACGTTATTTTGAGCCCGGTTGTACCAGCATAGTTTTACACATTTGACGTTCAAATGTTATGAAAAAAATGACGAAAGACAAACTCGCGCGACGATTGCACCGTGTGGTAAATATGATAAATGTATGTGTAAGTACATCTGTATCGATGTAACATTTATTAAACTCGATTGTACCTATATATATATATGTTATATTTGATTTTTATGTATGTGTATAATGCATATGTACAAATGTGGAATACGGTAGATATACAATAATACAATAATAATAATAATGATAATAACAACAACAATAATAATAATAATAATAATAATAATAATAATAATCGTAATCATAATAATAGTAGTAAATATCAACAAATAAACAAGAAACGGCTATAGATCGGCGAAATCAAGATACGTCGACGAAATTGAATTTGTAGCAGGAATAGCGTACAATGATTCCTCGTGATTCTGGTAATCCGAAATGACTTTCGAGGTAACGTTCAAATTCTGAAAAGGAAGAATGAATTTGTAATGTCACGCGAAACGATAGACGGTAAATAAACAACACGATATGCGACTCGCAATAGTAACCCTCATTGATCGAATTGTCAGTCGTACGATCCCGAGATTATTCGTTTCCTGAAAATTGTACTTACGTATTTTTTGTGCATGGACAGGCAAAAAGTACAAAGCTGCGGCCTTGTTTGCGAATCGGGCCAGTGGTTTGCCCCGAAGACACCATTACGGTCCTCGCCGATACGTAAACAGGGTTGCTGATTTATGGGCCCTGCAACGAGGACGGCCCCCAAGTGGCTTATGTAACTGCTGGCTAATCTTAAAGTCTCGATTTTCGATAATTTCCTATCCGCTGGTTCCGTCGGTATCAACGTTCTCAGCGCACTAAACGCCGTGTTCACACTGCACAGGGAAGATTGCTTTTCTTCAGTGTTGTTCGCGTTGTTCGCGCTCCTTACATTCCAAAAGGGTATTTACAATTTTTTCTTTCACAATATCGTGTAGATTCGCCGACTGGAAATCACCGACAAGACGACCGAACATCAGGGATCGACAGGCTTGCTTTTCGTTTTGTCGCGATTTCGAGCAGCATGCGAGAAAATTAAATAAAAAAGAAAAAGTAATGTTCACCTATGAGTGCGGTCCCTTTCGCGCGCGTTCGCTTGATACCGTTGTTTCGACGATTCCTTCTTTCTTTGTGCAGCCATGCTGCAAGCTACGCGCTGCACCACGCGCTGCTGTCGGTACTGTCGGTAGGTCCCCGAAAACTCGATCAACTCGAAGCACCCCCGTGAGCTTAGCTTCACCGCACCGGCAGCACGCTACGAACGACTAAACCTTTCCCCCGTTTCCTCCGATAGTCCCTTTTTGACACTCTTCTTTCGGTCCCCTCCTCGTAAACAGACCTACTCCGCTCCGCCCATGTTTCCCGAATACACATGTGAGTCGCACGTGCATCCGATCGGACAGCCGGAACACTTGCACCATCGAAGTGTCGTTACAGTAAAAATAAAAGGGAACGAATTAATGACAATAACATCACCGAGAAGAATCGTGCGAACAATTTCGATGTGAAGCATCGATTATGAAAAAGGAAGGAAGCAAGAAGAAAAGGCGAAGGCTTTTATAAGGAGAAGGATTAATTGCGCACATGCGATGTCTTCGAATTTAGCAAAAAGCGGGACAAACGCACGCTTGTGGTTGTTTCACGGAGACGTTCAAAAGTCTAGCTATACTATATATACTCCCACGTAAAGTGTTGCTAGCGAGTCCAACTGGTTTTCACATTACGATCGACAAAAACGTGACGACAACCAGTGCGATGCAGTGCGATATATGTTGCAGAGTGGTGGAAAGGCAACGGACAAGGAACACAAATTCCACCACCATACAACGATTACTTATGATGTTAGAAAATCCGACGATGCGCGCACGGTAAGATGGCACGAAAAGATCGTCTTTCAAAAGACACTTATTTATTTTGTGTCCAGGGAATTCGGTAACAGGCAAACTGGTGGTATGAAATTATACAATGATTTGATGTTCGAACATTCCGATCACAGAAAATTTCTTTTCTTTCGTTTCATTTCTCGGCTACTCGGTTTTTCATTCAAATATTTCTAATTCTTGGTATATTTCACCGACATTTTCGTCATATAACGAGGAGGATAGGCAACAACCTCGCCAAGAATTGAAAAGATTCCGAAAATAGCCGTTTGAAACTCTTATACATCGATTCTCTGATTGAAACAGTTATGAAGAACAGAAAAGATCTCGTAACTGTTAAATATTTAAACAAATTAAAGTATTATCTTAATAATAAGTTCTATCTGTTTTGGCTTATATCGGTTCTCTAATTGTTATTTTTCGGTTACGCATTTCAATGGTAGTTCTAGTTTACGTAATAAATACGTTATATTTCCTTGAAGCGTTAAAAGTATAAATTCTATATTTAGATCGAAAATCCGTGCGATGTAATCACATCTTTGTAATACTTTGTATTACAGATATTATAGAGTGTTCTTGTCTATCGCACAGAACCGAAACCAAGAACCGAAAAATAACCGTTATGGAACCAATGTGATATCGATTCTGAAAGACCGAAACCGAAACCGAAACCGAAACCGACATCATAACTGTTTTCAACCGCTGAATCTTGCGCAAGTTAGGGCAAACGGTAAAAAGATGGTACGCATTCGTGCACATTGACTCCCAATTAATTAACATCGACATTCGATTAAACTGTACGCTTGTTTAACTAGAAGACTCGAAACGAAAAAATAAAGCGAAGAAGGAAACGATACGACGAAAATTGGACGTTTCTATGAAATATTTACTTATTTAAATAACTAGATTACATCGAATCTACACCGTCGAATGCTCGTCAAAAGAAAAATGTTGCCTTGCTCCGACGAAAACCGTTGTCGCATCGATCTTCAACGCCTGCACCAACAGGATAGTGTTTTACGTGACTCTGTAAAATTCTACGGAGCGCACGAACGTGGCAAATTATGCGTTCTCGACGTACCGTTTTTCTATAAAATGTTTTTCATTTTCTAAACTTTGGTCAATTTCTTACAAAGTTTTTTTTTTAATTCTAATCAGCCGCTCGGTCCAACCAGTATCAAACGTTCGTGGTCTTTAAGGGTAAAATCTTTAAAGGATATATATATATATATAGAAAATATACAAATTGTTCGACACAGAAGAATTACAATAATATTAAAACTTTAGTTACATTCTTATACTATGCATTTATACGTACTAGAACACGGAAGGTCGGTAAGCGCCCACGATCGTTACGAAAAACGGACAGCTCTTTCTTTCTTTTTTTTTTTGTCTAACATGTTTGGAAGTTAATCTATAAATCATAAAATTATTGTACACTTCGAAGAAATGTCTCGCGTTCCTCGATCCATCGGAAACTCGAAAATGAGAAACAATGGAAACATGATCTATAATTTTCTATAAGAGTATAGAACTAATAAAAAACAGAACCGCGGTGAACAATTTCACGTTTGAACACTTTGGCATTATCACCGCTCGCAAAATTTAAATCGAACGGAACGGATCCACGTCTGAGCTAATAACCGATGTCGTGAACCGGTGATGTAATTACATATAACATATACCTAGAGATTTCAAACAAATATACATGCCAAACGAATGTTACGTTTGTGTGTACGTGGCGCACGCACGCGCTGTCCGTCCGTGTGTAGTAATTTCGTTCCTGTACCGCGCCGAATCAATGCTAGTACTATTATATTATCGATAATTCATATCGCGTGGCGTATTTACACTAATACGAAACGTAATGAACCTTACGTTTTTTACCTTGTATTTGCTATATATATATATAGCTCTAAGAAACCGTAAAAATATTTTCTGATCCTAAATATAAGGTCAGTGAAGGTCATTTATTTCTCTCTCTCTCTCTCTCTCTCTCTCTCTCTCTCTCTCTCTCTCTCTCTCTCTCTCTCCTTGCGTTTGTGTGTTGGGTCTACGTCTCATTTCCTTTGTTTCCTCTACCCGGCGTTAACACGCTTTGCCCACCATACACACATTTTTCTGTTTTCATCGTTCTCTTTTGTACTCGAGTCGTGTTAAATTCCCGTCGGTCGAGATTCTAACGAGAACGATTGTTCGCGTTCCGGGTTAGGAAGGATAATCGTTAGGATAGTATAAATACAATTACACCTAAGGGCGTGATCCACGTGCAGCTTCTTCCAGTGCGCGAACTTTGAGCTCGCGCTCGCGTTGTTGTCTAAAAAACAGCCTTCGTTAGTCCGTTATGCGATGGTTCGTTAAACCGAGACAAGAATAGAGAAATGTAAACGCATCGGAAAGTTTGTTATAGATTTGAAAAGGCGAACCTTAAATATTCTTCGTGATGGGCCACGAGCGATGCATGGGGCTGAAATCGATCCCGCTCCATCATCAGGTGACGCTGCAATTGCTCGTGATGAGCTGCCATGTCCGCGTACGGTCTTCCAAGAAGTTCCGCCGGATGAAGCGCCAATCCTGGATCACGCGGCATCAATCCTGGCCGAGGATAATTCGCGCCGGCTGCAGCTGTACAAATAGCAAACGTTAACGAACCGTTACCAACGATCCCAAGTACTTGGAAGCTATCAAGCTCTCGGACCAATGGACAAACTAGCATGCATGACAGAGCGTGAGAGAATGGTTTCGGCCCTTTCGGTGCGTCCTGTAACGTGTATCGTGTTTCTTATGTAGGTTTGTTTAATTTATATGTGCGTATAGGTGGGTGTGCGCTTACAAGGAATTCGCGAAACGATATTTGCAATGGGACGAACGATAAGCGCGTATATGTATATGTATATGTATAACCCGACGCGTTTCGATGCTTCTAAGCAACCGAAATAACGAAGAAATTGGCGACCATAGGGGGACGACGATGATGGTCGCGCGCGTACTATGGACATGGTACGTGGTAACAGAGGCAGACGACAGGATTCGTTCTCTTCGGTTAACTAGCGTGTTCGATGTGCAAATTAATTAGAAAAGGATTCGTACAGTGCGAAATGAAGACCGCGCGCACGCATCTCGTTTCAATCCACTCATCCACGCGTATACACGCAAACGACCGATTCTCGCAACACTCGCGCGCACTTGCACCTTACACGAAAATATTATTGTATATCGTATCATAACGATGAAGCGACTAGAACCGGTTCGTGGAATCTGTTTGTTTCGATGGTACCTTCACCGAAAGAGGCTCGATGCCCAGTCACAATGGCATGGCGAGAAAAGCGAGAGAAAAATGCAAAAAAAAGAATAGGTCTGCTGCAAGAGAAACGCTCGTTTGTTCGCGCGTCTTTCTCATCTATTTGTCAGGGTTTTTTTTTCGAGACGAGCTCCGACGCGTGATAGAGATTGAATCGAATGAGAAGTACGTTTCAGTACGCTCGCACACGATCGACCTTTACTGGTTCGAACGAAACGGACTAAGAATTAAATCGTTTATCGCAGCAAACGTTGTAAAAAGCGAACGAGCTGTTGTGTGCGCGTACGTATTTTACCGAATCGGTGGTATTGTTTGCCACGAGCCACATGATTTTCACGCGAAACGTTATATTCTTCGGTGACAATCGAGAGAGGAAGAGGGAGAGGGAGAGGGAGGGAGAGAGAGAGAGAGAGAGAGAGAGAGAGAGAAAGAAAAAGAGACAAAGAAAGAGAAGGAGAAAGAGAAAGAGAGGGGGCGGGAGAGAGTGCAAGAGAAAAAGAGTAAACTGTATGTACGTCTAGCGATAGGAGCGAGAGGAAAACGCGCTTCGATTTGATGTCGACGATCAAATTCTGATAATTCTGATAACTCTGATAATTCTGAAAATTCTGGAATATGATCGCGATGAAAGGGTCGATCTTTGTGTAAGAGCGTACTCGAATCAGATATCCTGATTTGTAGGACCTACCAGGCAGGGGGAATCCAGCTGCAGCCGCAGCCGCAGCCGCTTCCTGCTGTTGCTGAGCCTGTTGCTGGGCCTGCTGCTGTCCCGGATGTAAGTGCAAGTGCGTATGCGCATGCGTATGCGCGTGAGTGTGAGCATGATACTCGGGCGAAATGCCAGCCATCTGCAACCGGACCATCGGGTCAGCAGCTAGAGCCAGACGCTCGTCCAGCTGGCCGTGGTGATGAGCCGCCACGGGATGGCCAGCCCCCGCACCCGCTGGCCCCCCGCCGGCTGCAGTCGGTATCCCTAAACCCGACAGCGCCTCGATCAAACATACTGTTCTCTCTAATCGTGCTCTTAACGCTAGCGAACAACAATAACTATATCTTTCTCCTTTTAAAAACGAATTTCTCATAGCTGTTTTGCAACACGCTTTCGTTGTTCGGACGTTCCACAGGCGTTTCACAGGCGTTACCCAGGCGTTTCCGACTGCTAGCTGCACGTCACCGGTGCCACCAAACATCATTCATTGTCAATTATTTCACAGCGTCCGGCAAGTACGGCGAACATTCGGAAACGACCACTATCGCTATCACTAACATCATCACCGTCATCAACATCATCATCATCATCATCGTCATCACCATCATAATCATTATCATCATTATTACCATCATAATCATCACCACCATCACCACCATCATCATCACTACCATCACCATCATCATCATAATCATAATCATCATCATCATCATCATCATCATCATCATCATCATCATCATCATCATCATCATCATATTCAAATCATCATCATATTCATAATCATCATCACCTCGCTCTGTCCGTCTCGTGGCAAAAACCTAAGCTTGGATCGTATTGTTTAGAATTCGAAATCATAGCCATTGTACTTAATGATTCCACGATTCGAGAAGAAAGATATGCGTACTCGAAAGGGGTTGGGTGTTGGGTGTTGAGGGTGGAGGGGCGGAGGCTGTGTGTGTAAGACGGTTTCGAAGGACAATAAGAGTTACCTAGTCTTTCTAAACGTTCTCTTTCCAGCTGACTCGGGCCGGGCGGTGCCCCATAGAGGCCGAACTGGTGCAAAGCTTGAGGAGGTGCCGAGGGTCCGGGCGCTAGCCCCGCCGCGGCGTAACGGCGATGGATCTCGAGCCAGTGCGGGTCGACTGGTCCCGGCATGGGTCTGGGCGTTCCTTTCAACAGTTCCTCCTTGAGCCGGTCGTTCAATTCTCTTTCGCGCAGCTCTCGGATCTCGCGTTCCCTCTTCTCCCGTTCCAAGTGCTCCAATTCGAGGCGTTCCCTTGCCGCCGGTCCACCGTACATGTAGTGAAGCATCGGGTCCGGCGGTGCCGGATGCCGAGCCGGGGAAAACGCGGCATGCGGTCGCGCATACTCCGACAATTGTCTAAGAGCAGGAGTGTCGGCGTAGGAGCCGGGCCTAGCAGCTGCAGCCGCGGCCGCGGCCGCGTACCTATCGTATGGCGAGACCACAGGTTCGAGGGGTCCCCTGCTCGGCGGTTTGCACACTTCCGGTTGTTTCTCTGGCGTGGTCATCTTCCTCGCCTGCTGGGCCGCGGCTCTGTCTCGTTCCTCCCTTTCCCGTTCGGCCTGCTTCCGAGACCTCTCTTCCCGTTTCCTCGCCAGCTTCGAGTCTGGCACCGGCTTGAACATCAAGTCCGTCCTCGTACAGGAATTGTTCTCGCCCCTGTTCCAGTGCCGCAGAAAGATGGCCGACTGAGATCTGTGACACTCGGAATCCTCGATCCTTGGCTCCGGAGAAGGGCCCCGCGGGCTCGGCGGTTCCTCTTGCTCCTGCTCGATCAGATCCGGTTCGATTTTAGGTTCCGGTGCGACCGGTGGCTGCTGCGGTGCCCTGTGATGATGGTGGGCCGAACTGCTGGACGTTAAACACGTCGCCGAGACCAACGACGGCTTGCGTTGCGTATTGTGCGAACTATGCGACGACGAGTGGCTATGGGAACTGTGCGACGAAATGGTCAACAGCTTGTCGTGATGCAGTGCTGTCGCCTGATGCATACTGGAAGAATGATGATGCGTGGCGATCAGGTTCTCCCCTTCCTCTCTAGTCGTCACGCTCGAGCTGGTGCTCGAATGGTGTGCCGTCATCATGGTCGTGCTCTCCTGGCTTCTCTGCGGCGACGGCGGTGGTATAGCGTGCGGCACCGGTCCGTATGGATAAGGCGGGAACGAAGGATACCCTCCAACGGCGGCGTATCCCGGATACGCGTGCGGATGGTACGGATGCATGGGAGTGAACAACGAATGATGCATCAGAGGATGATGAGGGTGGAACGGATGGGCCATGTGCGGACTCGGTTGCTGCGCCGGATGCATCACCGGCTGAGGGATCGATGTGGGCGGCGGCGGAAGAGTCGGTGTAGGAGACGCTGCCACCGACTGGATCTGTGGGACAGCTTGATTGCTGGCCATCGAATGTTTGCTCGGCGTTGGAGGTTTGCTCGAACTGTCCGGATCCTTTTTGATATTTTCTAAACTCGGACCAGGAAAGCCAGACTGAAACCCGGGTACCTTCACCTCTTTCAAGCTTTGCAGCGGATCCGGCTCCGGAGGGATGATCTCCTGTTTGATCTTTAAGTTTTGCGGCTCCATAGGCGGCGTGCCTGCCAAATTGTACATGGAGGATGGTTTTTCCATAGGTAGCATTCCGCTCGATTGAATCGGTTGAAACAGATTGCTCGGTTCATTTCTTTCGGACTCGCTGTTCTCTGTAATCGATCGCTCCGAAATTCTGTCCGGTATCCTGTCTGATATCCTGTTGTCTCTCATTCGTTCCTGGGCGAGTCTGTCGTCGGCAATTCGTTCAGAAATTCTGCTCTCGGAAGACATTACCGTTAAACCCAAAGGTTGCGGCGAACTCGACATCTGCGGTAACTGAGACATGTTCGGCGGTATACTTTGGGAAATATTCAAATTCAGTGGTGGTACCGGCAGATTTTGCGACAAAGATTGGGCCATGTTCTGAGCCAAATTTTGTCCGTTCGACATATTTTCGCCATGAGCTCGAATATTCTGTGTTGGTCCCATGTTTTGCGCGCTCGACATGTTCTGCGACATATTTGACGGCATCTGCATGCTCTGCGACAAGTTTTGCGGTACATTTTGAACGGGGGGAACGTTGGACGCGTACTGCATGGTCAGTGGTAGTGCCTGTTGCGTCGGAGACATGATCTGCGCGTTCTGTATACCCTGGAGACCAGTTGTCGCGCAGATGTTACCGGTCTGTATCGTTTGCGATAAATTCCTTGGCATGCTTTGGTTCATATCGTTCATGTTTAATGGCTGCGAGGTGCTCAAATTGAGTTGTTGTTGTTGCTGCTGCTGTTCGGATTCCTTGGTATCTTCGTTGCACGGAGACATGGCTGACTCTATCGGCATGGGTTCTAATTTCAACGGCTGATTCATAGCTAACGGTACATCTTCTATCGGATCCTTGGTTTCCGCCGGGTCTTCCAGTAGCGTCTTCTTCTCCAAAGAGTGAATAACGGGAACGGATATCGGCAGAGTTTGTATAGGTGCTGGTATAGGAGTGGACACCGGCGTCGGTTCCGTAGGTTCTTCCGGCGTGGTTACGGCCGGACTGACAGGCTCCTCGGTCGGCACTGTAACTGGAGTGCTTTGATTTTCGTTCGTATCACCTTCTCCTTCCCTTTCAGGCTCATCCATGAGAGAGTTACTATCGGTCGTTAGTGATTCGGAAGGACTCTCAGGGCGTTCACCGCGTTTCCGTTTCTGAGACTCCTTGTCCTCGTCCGCCTCGTCCGTTTGAGGCCGTTTCTGACCTTTCTTCGGTGTCTCTGGCTTTCCACCGCCGGACGTCTTTTTCTTACTCTTATCCGGCGTTTGTTGCTGCTGCTGTTGTTGTTGCTGGTGTTGTTGTTGTTGTTGTTGTTGTTGCTGCTGCTGCTGATGGTGATGCTGTTGTTGCTTTTCGTGATCAGGAGTATCCGTACCACCTGTACGTCGAGGTCTTGCGGGTCTAGGCGTTTCCTTGGCCTTGTTTCTCGTGCGCATTCTCCCTGGGCTATCTGGTGATTCCGCGGGCACTGGGCGGAACAGGTATGGAGGGGCTGGCGGTAATTCTCCGGTTTTCTTCAAATGTATTCTGCATTCCGTACAAAGCAATAACCTGTCCTTGCCGGCTACCTGATAGTCCTTCGAATTGGTCGAGAAACAATGCTGACAGGAGTGCGTTGCTCCGTTAGTATTAGTATCCCTGGAATCGCTGTCCTCCTCCGAATTGTCGTCCTCTGTCACAGAACTAATTTCCCCGCCGGGATTGTTGCTGGCAGGTGTCCCAACCGGCACGGTTTCGGGCTCTGAAATCGGCTCCTTCTGACTGACGCTGGCCGGTGGCGTATCCTTTGGCGGAGTAGGAACCTCTTCTTTGGGTGTACCGGCCCTCGAGTTGCGTGTGTTACGAATCCGTCTGAGCGAGCCTTGTCGTCGTCTTCGATGAGGTCGATTATTATTTGCACCGGGTGTTTTCTTCCACAAGTAATAGAACTCCACCAATTCCGGCTAAAAATACAGAAACGTGTCACGTCAAGCTGGTTGTCTTTTGTTTCGTGTTCATGGCGAACACCTAGGCTACTTGTCTATGTAAATGCAAATGGAAATGTTGATCGCTACCGTGTCTTTGTGGGGTAAAAGATCCTTTCTGATTCTCGAAAAGTTCTTTCCGAATTGCCGGAGTCCTTTGACGAAGCGTTTCTACGAAGCAAAACATGAACACCAAATAATCGTAAAGCTTGTCCTCTCTTTAACTTTTTCTTAATTAAGGAAATATATCGCCAGTACTAGATATGGTCTATGGTATGGTATAATAGAGAATAGCATAGCACAGCATAGCATAGCATAGCATAGCATAGCATAGCATAGCATAGCATAGCGTAGCGTAGCGTAGCATAGCATAGCATAGGATAGCATAGAGTAGGATAGGATAGGATAGGATAGGATAGGATAGGATAGGATAGGATAGGATAGGATAGGATAGGATAG